ATTATTATTATTATTATTATTATTATTATTATCATTATCATTATTATTATTATTATTATTTTCTTAAGTACGTAAATTTCTACCATATCTTATTACGGTAGTTTATTGACATTGATCGTATTACAGTTTGTTTATTACATGATACTCTTTCTTAATAATTGCTTGCTTTTTTTTTCTTTTTTTTTTATTATAACAGAATAAAATTTAATTAGCCGTCCGTGTGAGAGACACGATAACGTCAAGAAATTAATATAGACGCTATGATGATCGTTAATATTTGACCCTTTAAGCTCAATCGCGATGAGATTTTTTCAGCCCTTTTTTTTTAATTTAAATTTCTTTTTTGTAATTGTGTGTGTGTGTGTTTTTTTTTTTCGTGAGAAAAATTCGATTGATTTTTCAAAAGACGAGTTAGAGGGGTAGTGAGCTGAGCGAATGAGTGAGACATAATGAGAGAGAGAGAGAGAGAGATAGAGAAAGAGAGAAAAAAAGATAGAGATAGTGACAGAGAGAGAGAGAGAGATAGTGTGTGTGAGAGAGAGAGAGAGAGAGAGGGGGGGAAAGGAATTAGAGGATAGAATCGAAAAAGAATTAGCAGAAATAGAATAATAATTATAAAGAGATGAAAATCTTTCTAATATCCTGCCAATTCGGCAAACGTAGAGTCCATTTCGTCGGCGAGTGATTTGTATCTGTCCTTGTTGATACCAAGTTCATCTGAAAATAATAAATAAATAAATGAATGAATATAATTATAAATTAGTATTAGAAAATTTGTTGTATCGAAAAAAGAAAAAAGAAAAAACAAAAAAAAAAATACAAAATAATTCTAACAAAATATCCCATGATCGCGTGACGTGTAGTAAACTACAATACGATATTTTTAAATACGATAAAATATTATTTATCTACATTTTTCATCAGACTTGGATAAAATAATGATAAATTAATTAATTTAATATAAATAATAATCAATGATTAATGAAAAAAAACTTGTTCTTGGTTTTTTTCTCTTCTTTTCTTTTCTTTTCTTTTCTTTTCTTTCGTTAAATTCGCATGAAACATTTTGATTTGTTCAATATGTCTTTTTTGTTTTTGTTTTTAATTTTACCCAAATCTGTTAGAATTGTTTTTGTATCATTTTTAGATACAGATATTTTTTATTTTATATCTAAATAAATGTATAATTAATTATCTAATTATCTACTGCTACAAGAGTAAGTCGTTGTTCGTAAAAAATATAGAAAAATGATTCCTTCCTTTCTTTCTTGTTCTCGTTTGCGAAGATAAATAAATTGTTGATAAAAAATATACAAGTATATATATATATACGTATGGTAAAAAGAAAAAAAAGTTGAGCTTGCGCTAAAGCATGGATTGAATGAGATTTAATTGGTATTAGTATTTATAGTTATTATTAGGATTAGAAAGAAAATTATTATATTATTTTATTTTATTTAGCATGCATTTTTACCTATATACGGTATAAATATATATATTATATATAATATAATAAATAATATATATATACTATATATAATATAAAATATATAATAATTATAAATGGTATATATAAAATATATATTATATTTATTATATTTTATATTATATAAA